ATTCGCATGCCATGCACTCATTGACGAGAACGGCCGAAGCAGAGATTGGTAGCCATCTTGTGCCACTAGTTTGAGCGGGACCAGGTTCCGATGGAGATGCGAGGGCGACGGGCGGTTGACTGGGAAGCTCGGGCGCGCCATGGGAGTGCGAAACGAGCCGGTTGGGGTTAGGCAATGTGTTGAGGTCAAGCGTGGGGTCCACCGCATGGATGAGTCGCTCCAAGGATCTTATGCGAGCTGTAAGCTGCTGGACATCCCTACAAGAGTTTTCGCGAGTGGCACAAATTTTTCAATAGGCCGAACTCTCCTTGCAGGAGAAACTGAAATCACTGGAACGTACTTGACTGTCGGTGGTCTCTCCTGCAGACTGCCTGGGTTTGCAAACGTGCACGACACATCAAGCCTGGCGCAATTGTTGCAGCGGTCATTCTAATGAAGACAAAGCAGATATGAGCTACGCTGGACAGTGATTCAAAGAAAGAAAGACAATCAATCGACTTACTTCAAAGACGCACTTCACTTTACTGAGCCTACATCGATCACAACTACGAGGGATGCCTGTTAGGATTGGTCATCAAACTCAGTGCCAGCTCCAACATGCACCCGTGCAAAGCTCAAGAGCAAAACAGCTCCATTGAACTCCATACATACGATATCTGCGCCGTTTGGACTGGACTTGCGCTTTCGGGTATCCGTTCGTACTCATCTCGACTCGGTCTCGCATACATCCAGACATGGATTTTCCGAAGGTCTCCGAAGATCCGGGAAGGTCGCGCATGTGTGTAACATTACCCGGGGTGACACCCCAGGTGGTACCACCTGGGCGCGGTGGTCGGGATGGGTCTGCAACACCCCCCGACACCCAGGGTGGTTAAAATCAAAGGCTTGACAGGCCTTTTGAGATGTTAAAATTGCACTTTTGGATGTTTGTTGTGCATCATCAGTGCTCTGATGAGCCGACCGGCATCTATTTACAAGCCAGGAAAGTGGCAAGTGGGCAAGTAGAGTGCCGATTGAGCAGGGGGAACAATGTGACAACTTACCGACTAGCAATTAAGTAAGTTTCCATCATCAAAAATCAATCATACCGCTGTAAAAGAGGGAGATGGAGCGTCTGGGGTATATTCTAGGGGTCGCTGTAATTTTACAAACTATATTTTACAAGACATATGTCTTGTAAATCAGATGGTTTGTAAAATTACATTTTTATGGGGGTAATGTATAATTTTACAAACCATCACCCAAAAATATGGGTTGCAAAAAAAAAAGGGTTGCAACACATGTGCCTTAAAATTGCAACCCATGCCCCATGAAGTAGAATTTTAAGGCACATATGTTGCAACCCTTATGTCTTGCAAACAATATGGTTTGCAAAAGTACATTTTTGCCTCATTTCAAGGAATTTTGCAACCATTAGTTTGCAACCCATCTATGTGTTGTAAATTATGGTTTGTAAAATTGCACAACAAGGTATGTAAAATAGAATTTTACAAACCATATTTTGCAACCCTCCCAAAAAAAAAAAAAAAAAAAAAAAAAAAGAGGGAGACACAAAAATCAACACAGAAATAAAAAAAAAGCATCAAGGACTCAGCCTCAAAAAAAAAAACAAAAGGCAATCAAAAGAAAAAAGAGAAAGACAGCCTCAACAAAAGATAAAAGGGGCAAAAAAGTTAAAGACACAGCCTCAAACCAAACAAAAAGGAATGAACAAAAGAAGAAAAAAAAATCAAAAAGCAGATCAAAAATAAAAAACGCAGACCTCAAACAGAATAAATGGAAAAGTGAAGTCAGTCCAGGAGAACAATCTTTCAATCTCATTTTTTCTTTCTCACTGATCGTCTTGAAGCCTGGGTTTTTCCTTTGGTACTTGGAGGTGATCGTTGCTCAGGTGGTCTCAGTATGACCTTGAACCGTATTGGAGGTTTCTGAGGGACTTCTTCATCCTCCTGACTGTGTTTCACCTGAGTTTGAGTAACATGATCATCTGTTTCATCCGCTAGAGACTGATTACCAGTTTGATTGCCAAGAGACTGTTCACCAAGAGCAAAAGATTGATCACCACCGTCTTCGCCAGTATGATCACCAAGAGAAAAGGTTTGATCACCACCGTCTTCGCCAGTATGATCACCAAGAGAAAAGGTTTGATCACCGCCGTCTTTGTTGCCATCTTCGCCACAAGATTGATCACCATGGGATTCAAGAGATTGATCGCCAAGCACAAAAGATTGATCACCATGAGATTCGCCAAGAGATTGATCGCCAAGCACAAAAGATTGATCACCATGAGATTTGTCGCCAACCGAGAGGAATGATTCGTCTATTTCCAGTGTGACTTCTGCATCCAAGGAACACTGTTGTTTGGTGTCTGGTTCTTTTTGGTCTAGTGCATACTTTCGAGCAATCTGTGCATTCATTTGAGAGGCGAGTTGTGCAATCGGAGTTGTTCCTTTGACTGGTGAAGTGTAATTTTTTGGAGCATTACCCGTAGTTGTTGAAGGCGATTTTTCTCTGGCCTGGGATGTGACAGTAGTTGGAGGAGTAGATTTAACTTCGTTTGTGGTGGTGTGGGGAATTAACGTTGAGCTGTGTGATGTGTTCAAAATTGACTTCATCTCCTTGAAAGGGACATCGCCAGCAGCTTCTGGATTTTCGGCTATGATTTTCTGAATCGCGTTGTTGACATATTCTTCCTCCGAAGGTTTCCAGTCGCGCGAATAAAGGAGCCAGCTTGTGTTTTCTTCCACTCCGGCAATTGAACTGGGAACCCGATTGATCTGTTGAGCATACCCATCATTCTTGGCGTCGTTGTGTAACCAAATTGCGGTCAAACTACCCTTGTCAGCTGAGATGTTAGCACTTCGAAGGACCTTACACCAGTAGTGATTATGTTGCCAGTAGCCCCGGGAGATCAGAGTGTATGTGGCGCCTCCAACGTTAATCTTGAACGGCCAATCGATCGATCCCATAAAGTTATTTTTCTGTTTCTCGTCGGTTATGCCGGTGACATCTACATAGAAATTAAGATGAAGCGGGGCTCCATTTGCTGGGACAGCCAATCTTGATCGATCAATTATGTGGTGTGATGTGTTTTCAGAGGATCCAAGCAGCTTGACAATGTCGACATCGGAAGACACTTTTTGAATTTTGGCGTTCTTCGGGAGCTTCGGTTTTGGTTTGTTTGGATTGCAGTGTTTGCAGATCATACCCGAAGTTGCCAGCAATCCATTGGTTTGCCACATCTCGATTAGCTTTGATACATCAGAGTGAGGAATCCGATTCTCATCAAACATCTGCGGCTTGATTGTCAAGACATGAAGGGTGCGGTGATCTCGAGTGGAGTGCTTCTGCAATTTATTCGGCTGGAGTTCGCAGGTGAAAGTTCGATGTTCATCAATCGAGAAGAGCTGCTTATACTCATCCTTCTTGTGAAGTTGGGGATCCAACGCGACCTCAAGGAAGTAATCGCAAGAAGCAAACGCGCCGGGAAGGAATCGTCCTGGATATTTAGGACTGAGAACATCGAATACCATGTTTTGTCCACGCGTCAAAGTTGAACGAATTGCGTTACTGCCATTTAGTTCGCCAGTTGATCAACATGAGAAGTGATGAGCGATTGCGGTGAAGACGTCCTTCCCATGACCGCTGATTCCACGGAGCCATAATGGGCTGAAAAGAGCATAAAGAGATTCAAGACCTGCGGCGAGCCAACAGCGGTTTCTTCGAGTTGGGTTGTCCTTATTCGCGTGGTAAGATGGATAAGCTGACCAGAGGCTTTTGTTGAAGTTTGTTGAATTGGGGGGCCTGCCAAGCTTCGCTTTTTTCTTCTTCTTTCCATCAACAAGCTTGTCTGTTGTGTCCGGGGGCCTTCCATCATTGATGAACTTCCCTTCGCCACGTTTGCGTTTCTTCACGATACCAAGGGTGGTGCCAATGTCCGTGGTGGGGTTGGCCCCATAGGAAATCGGGATCCCCTTCATCGCAGCTTTCCAATCTTCTTCCAACATTTTTACAAAGGAGAACAGGTCAACCATTCCAACCATGATGCACTGTTTTCCGTCACTACATTACAACCTATAAATGAGCGTCTTTCTTCATTGGGAAGCCTGCAAATAGTTCACAGGGGAATTTAAGCTTACCTCAGCCTGTAGTAGATCCGGTGCATACTCTCCTGGGCATTGGTAGTATCGGGAAGACCGTCAGGAGTATCCTCAAGTCGGGGTTGTCGCGATGGAAAGAGGAGGGCCTCAATGTCAGAAACCGTCCACCAATCAAGCCACTTGCGAACTTTGGGATAACGTCGCCTAATGAAGTCCACCTTCTCTTCATGAGTCTTCCCGCCGGCTTCTTGGTGTTCCAAGAGATCCATGCATGCTTTTCGGAAAGGCTCCTGGGGGTATGTTACATTGAAATCAGTCAAATTATTAGGAGATACATCTCACCAGAGCAAAAATTACTCACCTCCTCGTCAGCAGTCATGAGAGCCCGATTACGCTTGATTCGTGTGACAGACTGGCGGAAATGCTCCCGACACCCTTTCAGCATGCGCCTCACCTCTTTCCGAGTTCCCTGACGAAAGACTTCCAGATACGCTGAGACAAATCCCTTGGCTTGAGCACTGGAGAAGTCAACCACTTGGCGGACTAGCGTGTCACGTTCGGCAGGTGTTACTGGTGCGGCTTGAAACTGTCTGAAGAGTGTGGTGAAATGGAGTTTGTAGTATTCCTCACTCAACCCGCGGATCCAAGTCAGTTGGATCGGTATCCATCGGTGAAGGTCTTCACAGTACATTGAGGTTGAGAGCAAGTAGCCTGTTTCGAAGTATCGGTACGTGACATCGGATATGAGACCCCCGCTGTAGACCTGATTATTCTCATCCCTAGCAAGTAGTCGATCGGCCATCCATTGGGTTTGGAATGTGAAGTGTTCATTCTGTGGCAAGAATGAAGCAGACGTTATCAACAAGCCACGCCTGTGAGAACAAATACAGTCAACACATTGGATCAGCAATGACTCAACTCAAGAAGAGACATAACATAAGAGAGAAATAACTCACGCAGCCCACGCAAACATGTCCAAGACAAATTTGTCTCTATTCTCCCCAAGTTTGTCAGGAACCTTGTTCTATTCGACGAGCATCTTACGCCGGTAATACGCCAATCGGTCTTTGTTGATATAAGCTGTATACATCTCAGTTACACTATTTGCGCCGGCAGCTGGATCCGTCCGCTTTCCAGTCTACATAACATAGAAATCACAGAACATGAGGAATATGATCAGGAAAGTAGGAAGTGGGACCAACTCACCTTAAGTTTAAGTGCCCCCGCACTCGGATTCTTCAAAATTTCCGCTTTCAACTCATCCTTGGACATGGGGTCAGGCTTTTTAGCCTCAGGCCACGGATGCGGATGTGTGCCCTTGTGCCTGAGGAGACCCCATCCGGTAGGCAAGTGGTAATCGAATCTTACAGCCACGGAGTTTCGGCAACATTTCTTGTGGGTAACATTGCCCTTGCATTTCCCTGATTTACCGGGACATTTTGTTTTCCTGTTTGGTAGCAAAATTACATACATGGTCAGTAAAGGTCATGAAGCCATGTGGGGCAATGGTTTGTAAAAATATTTGCAAGAGTTGTAAAAATTTTTACACTCTATGCAAATATATTTACAAACCATCAAACAGAAGGATAATCAATCAAGAAATAATGATAAAAGGGGCTTACCCCTCTTCAAGCTTCTGTTTACCACCTTTTCCGGTTGGGGGGGGGCCAGCCCACTGGCAAGAAGGATCTTCACACACCAGGGCCCCCAGGCAGAAGTAACGAACAACTTTCCAATCGTTGTTGATACCTCGCTTATTGCTTGAGGATGTTTTCGAAAAACCAACGGTGCCGAAGTTCGTCACCGTCTCGCCAGGTTTGCACACGAAGATCGTTTTTTCGTTGGGATAGATCGGGTACCCTTGCTTGTCAAGGATACACCCGTGATCGATGTAGGTCTCGAAGGTGTCCTCCAAATTTGGGAGGAACCACTCCTTCGCGTTCCCTTGCGGATCTCGCACGGCATCCGTGTCGTCCGAATCCGCGATGTTTGCTTCAGGATGGCCATCTTCGGATCGGCTATCCTCCTCTCGGTCGTGGTCTGGTCCGTGGTCCGATTGATCGAGGTGGTCGACCTCCTCCTCGGCGACCTCCTCATCCTCGAAACCCTTGCTCTTTTCTATTTGATTGTTGTCGGTTTGCTTCTCGGACGACGATATCATCCATGGTATGTTTTCTTTTTCTTTTTTTTCATCTTTTTTTTCTTTTTCGTCTTTTTTTTCTTTCGCCTCTTTCGCCGTCGCGCCAGCCGTCTTCTTTGATGGCATCGAAGTCAAGTCTTCTTTTTTTTCTTTTTCTTCTTTTTTTTGTTTTTTTTTGTTTTTCTTCTTTTTCTTCTTTTTTTGCTTTCATGTCTTTCGCCGTCGCGCTAGCGGTCTTCTGTGATCGCTTCGAATCCGAAGATCTCACTGAATTGATCTTTATCCTCATTTCGCTGTCGATATTGGGGGTTTCCAAATGGGGGCTGGCGGTAAAAAGCAACTCTGGCGGGGTGATGATCCAGGGACTTGGTGGATTCGTGCCAAGGGGAGTGGAAGCGGTAGACGGCGGGTTGAACAACGGCCGAGGACGGGGATCGACGCCGGCGTCATTGTTTGATTCCCTGGCGTCGGTTGCACCCGTCGGAAGGATCGATTCGTCGCCTGTCGTCCGTGGTTCCTGTTTAGGCTGGATGGCGTCGGCGTTCGTCAGGCGTTGAGTTCTCTGTTGTCGGTGATCAAAAAAGGATGGGAGAACTTGAGAAGGCCTGGCATATCACCCATGATATGCCGTGTTTGTCAAATGTTTGTATGAACCTTATATGAAGCTTAATGGATATGTATTGAAAGTTTAATGATAGATTGTAAACTATGTGTTGTAAAATTCTATTACAGGGTGCCAATAAGCTTTTTTACATACGTAGTTTCACAAGACATTAAGGTTTGCAAGCGTATGTGTTGTAAAATTCTAAATTTAAGCTTTGATATACAACTTTACAACCTAGTCATGCAAGACTTGCATGATATAGTTTGTAAAATTACATAATGCCATGTTGTGATACAATTTTAACAAACATATTTTACAAACCAATTTTTTACAAACTTCGAAAATGACAGATGGGTTGTAAAATTATACATTACCCCCATAAAAACGTAATTTTACAAACTATCCGGTTTACAAGACATATGTCTTGTAAAAAATAGTTTGTAAAATTCACTTACCCCATATTCTAGGCTCACAACCACCCCTCAACTCAGTGCTTGCCAGCAAAAACAAAAAAACAAAAAACCCCTGGGTGGATTGGTGTCCACCCGGTTGGTTTTGGATGTGGGGTCCGGGATGGGCTTGACCCCCTGCCCAAAGCCCCGGGTGCCAGCCTGAGTTGGCGTATTTGTAAAGTTGGCTTGACTTGAAGTTGTTGCCATATGAATATATACCCCGGAGTCTGATGTGGTGCTTGGGCGCGTACCACAGCCCTTTGCAATTTGAAAATCGATTTTGAGTTATTTTTTTTTGCGCTTTTTTTAAAACGGAACCAAAAATCACCTCTTCCAAAAACGTGTACCACACACACTTCTTCATCTCGTCTATCTCACGCATCCCTTGGTCGATTCCACATCCTCCTCACATCACTATTCAAATGTCCTCCCCAGATACAACAATCAACTTCTCCTGCTGCCATCATCATTCTCATTTATCAGGTTGTCTTGTTGCAACAGATCAATCGGTCCGATCAACCTTTTCTCATGATCAATGCACCATTGATCGTTTTTAACAATTGGTCGTTATTTCCAATAGTTTTTCTTGGTAATCAATGCACGATTGATTGGTTTGTACGATATGTATTGTGATATTGTGCTTTCTAATTGTTTGTTTTTTTGTAATCAATGGATGATCGATCTTTTTTTCTGATCAATCGTTATCTCATTATTGAAAGTTTTTTATAATCACAATTGATCGTTTTTAACGGTCAATCGTGCTTTCCGGTCATTTTTTTCTTGTAATCAATGGGCAATTGATCGTATTTTGCAATTGATCGTTATCTCCTTATTCATAGTTTTTTATAATCAATGAAATCGGTCATCACACAACACTTTTTTTCATTGATTGATCAAGTGAGAAAATTGAGAAGAAGAACAAGCTAAAGAGCAGGATTCATCAAGATTTATTGACTGAGACAAAAAAATTGGATTGACCTATGCTGAGCAAAGATAAGAGATGCAACAGAGCCTAATAACATTGAAGATAGGAGAAAAAGATGAGCTGGGTGATCAATGATAAGAAATTCAGGTTTCCATGGAGTTGAGGCAGAGTTGAGGCAGAGTTGAGGCAAGAAGTCCGAGTAAGAAGTGAGTCGAGGCAAGAAGTCGGAGTAAGAAGCGAGTATTCGTAGTTAGTTTTTTTTGAGGCCTTTGAATCAGAATTGTCGTCTGGTGAAAGCAAGAGTGGTGGTAGTTCATCATCCAACCCATCGGATGGTTGAGCTGTCGGAGATATCTCGAAGAGGGTAGGATCTATCATCTGTAGAGTGTATATGGTGTACAATGAACAAGACAGGATGGTCCAGTCCGTTTTTGCAAACGGGGGTGGGGCCGTTTCCTCAAACGGCAGCAAATGTGAAAAAACAATTAGTCGAGTCATCAAAAAAACTCACCCCTGTGGTACGCGTTTTTGGTCAAAAACGTTTACTGCCAAAAAAAATGGAAATTGGCAGCCCGTGTGCAGCTATGGTACGCGCCCTTAAGAGCATCTCCAGCATGAAAGAATTTGGAAGCTAAAGGTTTTATTTCTTTATAAGTCATCTTTTCTTAAAGTGTAAAATACAATAATTTAACATAAATAGGAAAAGACTTTTTACCTAAAGGCAGAATATAATCTGAACTAGGTAAAGTAAAGAAATGATAATGATAATATAGTGCTAAGACTTCTTCGGATAAGTATAAATTGATGATCTATATTGTAAAGAAAAGAGTATTGAATTAGTTCTAAAGACTCATTTCTCTTCTTGAATAATAGTTCTTTTGAATGAAGAAGAATGACTATACTCGTTGGATAAGAGCGAGTTTAATTCTTTTGACGATTATTTTTTATTTGATTGACGATGCTATTATTAATAATAATCAATCAATCGTCATTTGTTAGTTATTATTCTCTTTCTTTTATGTTAAAAAGAAAGGCTATGACACTCACCGATAGACGGTGAGGAAATTCTGTCAATAAGTGTAATCGACGAGTTGCGTTTGTTTGAGCTAGTGATAATTTTTGTTCAAGTAGATAGAGTGATCGTTAGCGATCATTCTCTCTACTTGATCATCATCATTGAGACTCACCTAGAGCTCGATGATTGACGATCATCACTGTCTAGACTCATGACGTCATTGACGTCATCTTCTTTATCATAAGCTTGTCGCTTAGCTGTACTGTTGCATACTTTATGCTCTATACATGATCGAATAAACATGATTCAGGCTGTCAATGGGCTCGGGCGCCCATGGGCTACCCACGCCCCGACGGGTCTCGGGGCGGGTTTGGACAGGAAAGGGTGGAAAAATACTCAAGTGTGACCCGGCCCGCAGAGACCCACCAAATTCATGGGCCGGGTTTGGGCAAGCTTTCCTGGATGTGGGCCGGCCCATCCGGCCCATGAAAAGCCCGAGTAATTCTGACTATCATCAGAATTAACCTAATAATGTGTACTCACAGTACATATTATTAGGTTTGAGGGCCCAGAATCCCATAACCATGGTCAGTACCTGGATACACACTGTTTGCTGCATATCTCATCGACATCGTCATGCCCCCTAGATTCAAAGTTTCAAAAAAGCAGCCCAAGTCCAAGGGCAAGGAAAGCCCCATGCCCGAATCAAACGAGGATATCACAGTCATATCTGACTCTGCTCCGCAAACCCCAACCCCATCGACGGCAACTCCTACACAACCAAGTGCCTCAGAGGACCCATCCAGCACTCCAACGGAAAACATGACGAAATCCAAGAAGCGCAATACAACTAGTGACATCTGGGAGCATTTTAATACTGAAGGCCACGGTATGTCGATTCTGTTTGCTATTATGAAGTTAGAACTTAGAAGTACTTATTCTCATCTGTTCGCTTTTCATCATCTTTTATTGTAGGTCAAGAGTTGAAGGCAATATGCAAGTATTGCCTTGGTGAACTCTCTGCCAGAAGCACGAGTGGCACGAACCACCTTTGGCGACACATCGACCGATGCTCATCATATCAGAGCAAGAACAAGCAGTCCTTGTTGCGATTCGCGACTTCTGGCAGTGCTGACACTGCATCGACATGGACCTTTTCTCAGCAGCTCTCACGCGATCTCCTCACCAAGATGATTATGGCCCATGAGCAGCCATTCACTTCGATCGAGTACCCCCTTTTCAAGACTTTCATCCACTCTTTGCAGCCCAAATTTAAACTCTACACCCGCAACACGCTCAAGTCCGATGTCATGACGATGTTTCAGTCCATGAAGGCCAAATTGATCGCCAAACTCGCCAACGTAGAACGTGTTTCATTAACCACAGACCTCTGGACATTGTCGAATCAATCCCCTTTCATGGTGGTCACAGCCCATTTCATCTTGCCAGACTGGTCCTTGAACAAACGAATCATCTCGTTCAAGGAACTCCCCGCACCTCACACCGGTTTAGCCATCGCCGAGCAACTGATCAACACCATCGTTGAATGGAAGATTATCAACAAAGTCGGTACCATTACTGTTGACAACGCATCCTCAAATGATGTCGCAATCAATCGCGTCTCCTCTGTCCTCGCCGAACGAAGCACAACTCCCCCCGAAATGCAGGGCCGATACTTTCATGTAAGATGTGCTGCACACATCATCAATTTAGTTGTCAAGGACGGACTCAAGATTGTCTCATCTGCGGTCAACAAAATCTGTGATAGTGTTTGATACTCAAAAAGTACCTCGGCGCGTAAGCAACTCTTCCAAGATGTGATCAACCTTACCAATGCAAAACTGCCAGCTCTTCCATCGGTTGATGTTCCCACTCGCTGGAACTCCACTTACCTCATGATGAACTCTGCCTTGCCATACAAAGAGGTGTTTCTTAACCTGTCTATGTCTGATGCTAATTATACTCATTGCCCAACCTCTGAAGAGTGGGATGAGATACAAACGATGCGAGACTTCTTATCAATTTTTAATACTGGTGAGGAGCTCTTTCATTTTCAATGTTATTCTAGATTGATGACAGCTGAATCAAATCCTTATCCTGGTCCTTTAGCAACCTTGAAGCTTGGAGGTACTCGGTATACAACTGCACACAAGGTCTATAAGCTCATGAAAAAGATCGAGAAACAACTGACCAATAGCAAGAATCATGCGACCGATCACATCAAGCAAATCACCCAGCCAATGTACATCAAGTTCAACAAATACTGGGACGAGATGAAGCACATTGCGGCCATCAGTCTCGCCTTTGACCCACGATGTAAATTAGAACTCATTGAGTTCTTGCTTTCGGATGGACAAGACTCCGACCGAGTTGCTGACAGCCTCAATCGAATTCGAACCGATCTCTATGAATGGTTCACCGAGATCGCCCAGACTCACAATCCTACGGCCGCGACAGAGGAAGGGGAAGCAGCGGGTACCAGTTTATCTGAAAAGAATAAAAGGAAGACTGCTGCTGAAGAAGACGAAGATGCGGAGTTCAAGGTCTATCTTGCTAGTAAAAAGACAGTCACCTCTTCCTCACCAACAGCCAAAATCGACTTGTATCTTCAAGAGCCGCCGATCCCGATGGACTCACAATCTTTTGATGTTCTCAGCTGGTGGAAACATCATGCCTCTCGATTTCCGACTCTCTCTCTCTTTGCAAGACGGATCCTCATGACACCAATGACATCGATCGCTTTGGAATCGGCTTTTTCAACCAGCGGCCGTGTTCTCAGCGACTTCCGTAGTAGTCTGCATGCTAATACCCTTGAAGCCCTCGTATGCGGTCAAGACTGGATCCGGCAAGATGAGGGTCTGGACCAAGCCGATGAGGCCAATGACGAAGTATCGGTAACCTCTTGAATTTGTTTTTTGTCTCTGTTCTTGATACTCATATACACATATATACACGACTGGCTTTATTACCTACTACTTTTGTCTCTCTTTCTTCTTGTCTGCCATACATACCTAAATACAAGATTAAATACATGAGAAGGCTTGATTACATATGAAATACACGATATCACTAGATTTATATATCATGCAATGGAAGCACGACCTACCAGCTCAGTCGCTTGAGTGACCGAAGGTCACTGAATGATACTCAGGCAAAAAAAAACCCTTTTTGATGGGCAGACCCGAGACCCGCCCCGAGCCCGCCCCGAGCCCGACTGTCTAAAAGCCGGGGCGGGTTTGGGCATACTTTTTGGAATTGTGGCCCGACCCGCCCCGCCCCACGTTCCAAGGCGGGGCGGGTTTGGGCATGGTTTTTGGGCCCAAGCCCGGCCCATTGAAAGCCTGAAACATGATCAGTATTTAGTTTTTAGTTTTCTAGGTAGCTTACATTCTAAGTGTAAAGCTTACCCGATGCTCTCCTCTTGCGAGGGCTAGAATTAGGAATGGAATTCCAACAGTCATCCGTGCTTCGAGTCGTTAGATGCGAAGCAGAATCTGAAGTTCCATACATTCCCAAGACTCTTAAGGAGCGTCGAATAGTGCATCAACCAACAGGCTTAGTGAGAAAATCAGCCGGGTTTTCATTGGACTTGATGTAGAGGAGCTTCAACAATTTTGATTGAACATGTTCTCGGACGAAATGAAGTCGTATGTCCATGTGTTTCGTACGAAAACCATTTTGAGATGTCTCACTGTTTGCTAGGTCAATTGCGGCTTTATTATTGACATAAATTGGAATATGACGTGGCGATTTGAAAATCTTGATTTCGTTGATCAAGCTAGTAATCCAGATGTTGAGTTTTTGGCGAAAAGGCCGAAGAAAAGAAACTTTTTGACTCAAGTTGGAAGGGCTCAAGTGCTTCACAACAGAGACCGAAGAAGGGCTAAAGTGCTTCTTTGGGAAAGGCTCAGAAAAAGATTAAAGAACCGATAACTGTCACTTCTTAGCATCTAGATGATTTAAGTAGTCTAGATACAATGTGGTCAAGATGTGGGAGCAGCATTTTGAATAAGGGACAGCAACGATAGTGAATAACAAATATGTCAGAGAAAAGAAGAAAAAAAAAGAGAGATCGAGTGAATTTTCAACACCCCTCCTGAACTCGAGATCGAACGATGATTATCATAGGTGAAGGTCCGGATACTTTTGTTGGAGATATTCTTTGTCTTCCTGGGTGTATCGAGTCAGATGAGATGAGTGTTGTTTGGACGAGGAAGCGACCGACTTTGGAGCTCGCTTTTCGGGATGCTTTTGATAACAACTGTCTTCGGTGTGACCACTCTTGAAGCAGTGGGAGCATGCTCAGAATCCTCGCTTACAATGAGGGCAGACAATATCGGGGTCAGAAGACCGAGTGTACATAGTGGCTTGAGACGAAATCGGGGAGGTTGATCGTTTCTTGAGCTCGTTCAACTGATTTTGCGCAGCAAAGTCTTCTAATTTTTTCAGTACTTCTTCAAAGGATTCGGTTTCGAAATTCATAGAGATGTTAGTCTTGAAAGAGTGAAATTCAGGAGGGAGTTTGTCAAGCATCAAGATAGTTTTGACTTGATCGTCAAGGGCAAGTTTGGAGAGCACAATCTTCTGATTGGCCGATCGAATGAGAGGGAGGAACGCTGAGAAGGAGTCATATTCGACGGCTAAGTATTTCTTGAGAGCGGTGGTTCGTGATGTCAGATCGTTACCGGCGTATTTTTGTTTGAGAAGTTGCCATAACTTGTACCCATTGAATTCGTCGGTCTCGGTTTGGGTAGAACTAACATATGCAAGTACTTCTTGATTCAAGTGCTGAACAATCTCGGCGTAGGCGTCTTCATTCAGTTTGACGTAGAGTTAAGCATTTTCTTTGTCCTTTTCAGGGTCGGGACAGGTATGGATTCCGGTAACGATGGTGAGGGATTTTGCTTTATGGAGTTTGGCCTTCATTGGGAGCAACCAGAGCGCGTAGTTGTCGTTGTTGAGAAGAATTTTTGATTCGCGAACAATTTCCGTTGCCATGATGAGTAAGCGAGTAGGGATCTTTATGAGAAGGGTCAAAGTGTGGGAAATGAGCTTTAAATTCCAAAAAATAAGGATAATTGAGCGTGTAAGAATGAATTTGGGAAACACGTCAAAGGCATTATTCAAGACATAGTTTTCATTTTCATGAAAATCCATAGTTACCATAATTTTATACATGTTTGAAAGTGTAGGAAAACAATTTAACATGTCAAAAAATAATGAAAAATAAGCTGTTAAAAATCAATTGAAAAATACGACTCATTACAGTATTCAGTATGAACCATTTAGTTTTATGGAAATTGAATGTTACCATTAAATTCTACACACTTTTTAATGTAGGAAACAAATTTAAAATTTCAAAAAAGCATAAAAAATAAGGTACACACATGTATGCAAACAATTAAGTGAAAAAGTGATGAATTAATTAAAAAAACGTGTCAAATGCGGCATTCAAGGTATAGTTTTCATTTTTGGGAAAAATGGTTGATACCATCATTTTCTACATGTATTAAAGTGTTGGAAATAAATTTAAAACATCAAAAAATAATGAAAATTAAGCTGTAGAAATTTAAGTGAAAAAAACGTCAAATTCCAGTATTAAAGATGAACTGTTGAGTTTTGAAAAATTTGGTTTACACCATTAAATTCTACACGTATTGAAACCTAGGAAATAAATTTAAAATTTCAAAAAAACATAAAAAATAAGGTAAAAACATGTATGCATACAATTAATGGAAAAATAAGTGGAAAAAAAAAATTAATAATCAAAATTCATTTTCACGGAAAATGGTTTTTACCATTAAATTCTACACGCTTGGAAACCTAGGAAACAACTTTAAAAAATCAAAAAACTGAAAATTAAGGGCAAAAAGAAATTAATTAAAAAACCGCGTCTAAACGCGGAAACCGCGTGTGCTGCGGCGCATCAAAACCGCGTCAAAACGCGGAAAAACCGCGTTTTTTTATTAAGGCCCGTTTTTTTTCACTTTTTTTTCACTTTTTTTTCACTTTTTTTTCACTTTTTTTTCACTTTTTTTTTCACTTTTTTTTCACTTTTTTTTCCATTTTTCCTTGAACACAAATTCTCGCTTTGAATTCTGTGACTTCATTGCTTGCTCCAAGCTTCTTACGGAAAGCCCACGTCAACGGTATTGGTGAGTCATCGTTACGTCTTTTTCGTACTAGCCAAGCTTTATGATGTTCCATATTTTCGTACTCCTTCCACTCAGCCTTCTTCCACTCATCGAATTCCTCTCCTTTCATCGCCTGGTTATGAGTTTTCAGTGCAGTTGAAGTTAACGCAGTTCGTCTAGAATAAGTCAATATATTTGATTCATCGATATCACTATTAATGATCTTGTTGGCATTGATGCCGTTTTGCGATTGAATTTGCTTTTCATTTGCGATTTCTTCTTGAAGCAATTCATTCGAACAATCTTCTTGAGAGAATTCTTCAACGGGTAATTGACTTTCTTCAAACGGTAATGATTGAGAATCTTGAAACACTGGTAGATTATTCGACTGCTTTAAGTTATTCAAGCTTTTATTCAATGCTGGACAGTGGGGAAAAACATCTTCTTCAAAGTAGACATGTTTGACATTTATTATTTGAAGATTGTCGAGTCGAACCACCTTGTAAGTAGAATAATCATTCGAGTATCCAATTAAGACACCCTCCCATGATAAAGAATTGAATTTTCTCTTGTGATGAACTTCAGGTTTCATCGACCAAACCTTACAACCGAAAGGACGAAAAATCTTGATGTTCGGTCGTTTCTTGAAAAGAAGTTCAATCGGCGAAGTACGACTTTTCAAGATCGATGGTAGACAGTTAGTAATTGCACAAGCAGTTTTAACTGCCTCTGCCCACCATTCCGGCGCTAGATTTGATTGCATAAGTATGCATTGAGTCATATCAAGAATCGTACAATTTGCACGCTCTGCAAATCCATTCTGTTGAGGAGTATACGGAGGCGAAACATTGTGTTGAACTCCACTTGCTTCAAGTAAAGCAGATAGTTTCTTATTGCAAAATTCGCCTCCACCGTCCGTAATTAATTTCTTCAATTGATTTCCTGTTTGATTCTCGTAGAACACTTTGAATTTTTCAATTGCATCGGGCGCTTCACTCTTGTCCTTCAGGATTGTAATATTTATGAATCCAGTGAATTGATCGACAAGAGTTAAAAAGTATCGTGCTCCACCGTTTGATGATGGAGTAATGGGTCCGACTAGGTCTCCATGGACGACTTCCAAAGCAGCTGAGGTCGAATCAAAGTGATGTTTAAAGCTTTGTCGAGTTAACTTTCCTTTCATACAGGAATCACAGCATTTGTCCTTTACTAGTTTTTCGTCAATCGGCACCACAATCTTCAATCTATCCGTGCTTGCATGACCAAGACGATTGTGCCATTTTGTAAAGCCGGAAGTTTCAGTTGAGATCGTGAGCATTGAAATGGTTTGATGATGAGGAGGAAAAACATCGCCTTCGATTTCGAACAATTGATTAGACAAATTGACACTAAAAATTTTTTCTTGATTGTTTGAAATGACTTCATAAACTCCACCAGCTCGCTGAATCAAAATCTTTTCGTCAATCAGTTGAGCGAGTGAGATAAGATTTCTAGTTATATTGGGAACAAATAAAGAATTCTTCAAGGTGATTACTTTATCGTCGGCCATCTGAATCATTGCTGTTCCTTGTCTAACAGCAATAAGTTCCTCTCTTGATTTTCCATCGCCGGTGACAATGAATATGTGAACTGGTTCACTATCGACAAAGAATTCAAGAGAGTTGAACATATGATTACTCGCTCCTGAATCAAGTATGGCTACTAGTTTTTCTTGAGGCAAGGATGATCGAACAGTACTACAGTATCCAAAAGAAGGAACTGCGTTGTCGTTGTTCGCATTACTACCAGAAGCTTGTTGATTGGACTCATTTGAAGTAGTGGTCTGAGTGATGGTAGCTTTTGATGGTGGCCAAACTCGAAAACGTTTAGGTCTTTTAGACGGATTATCGTACCAGCAATTTCTTTGACTGTGTGTAGTATTCGGGTCGTGTCCATTCTGACATGGATGCTCGTAATCCTGAGGAGGAGGTGGAGGAGGCGGTCGTTTTCCTTTTGATTTGAAATTAGTCGACAAGGCTGAAGTTGAACTACTAGATTGAATAGTTCTTTCATCACGCTTCGTCAGAGTTTGCTCATTGACAGCAAGAGTACGCAGTTTTTCTAAGAGTCGAAACGGATCGGAAACAAGATCTTCATCGAGCATTAAATTCTCCATCAGATCTTGTTTTACTGTAGTGACTCAACTGATAATGCAGACAGCAAAAAGATCCTGAGTAACGTCATAACCGATCGTCTTGAATTCTCCTAGACAGTCGAGACATCGATTGACATAAGAAACAATTCCTTGATCACAATGAATTGTGTCCCACAATCGCCAGACTTTACAGAGTGAGAAGATCGACTTTGATGCATATTTCTTCTTGAGAGCTGACCAGACTGAAAACGGCGTTAAATTTGACGATAGTTTAAAGATGGAATTGTAGATGGAATCGTCGACAACAGAGCTAAGATGAAACATAGCACAAGAATGCTTTGCTGCTATTTCATTGCTGATTGGTAAAGCTTGTTCGTGAAGACAAACTTCAAGAAGCTGACAAGAGTCAAGAAAGTATCGCATTTTGGACTCCCAAATCGAGTAATTTTCTCCTGTCAATTTGGGAACGGAGCTGATCCCTTTATTGTCCATAGCGTCTTTTCGTGAAAAGGATTCCATCGTCAGATTTTATTCTGCCTTTAAAAAGTATCCTAAATCCGTATGGAATCGAGATCGTTGATGAGATCGTCGAGACTGGTAAATCTGAAAGATTGGAAGCTAAAGGTTTT